TCCTGCAAGCCTCGCCTGTTGTTGGACAAGGCGAGCTTGTTTTTCAGCTACAGGTAGCTCATCGTGACGGCTTCGAAGTGCAACCTACGAACTTTTGCTATTTCTGACATGGTCAAATCTGTCCCTAAGTTCAATGCAACGGCAAAACGCCTAAATTCATCTTCTGAAGGTGGCGATTGCGGTGTCCCTATTGCAATCGAAAGGCGGGAAAACGTGGTCGGGCCGTTCATGTTCATGATTCGCTTTAGCCATCCTGACTCATCAATCTTATCACAGTGGGTTTCAAAAGAGGCAAAAAGAGGCAACGGAATCCACCAAGGCCATTGCACCGGCAGATTCGCACACACAAGGCCTTGTAAGCCCAAACGCGTCTACATGGCTGAATAAAAACAGTGCTACGTTTGAGAAAGAAACACATGTCACATGTCGCTTGAGCCGGATGTCCTTCACAACGTCTGTGATCCTTGACAACGCGTTCAAATTGTTTTCTCGACGTTGCCGGCTAGGTCTCTTTGCATTGCAAAAACGAGGCCGAAGCTTCTAAATGTGACACAAACATTTTCAGCGTGACGTTGTTGAAACACTGCTTGCACGTTGATTGGTCGAAGCTTCCGTCCACTCTCTCGTGGACTTCTGTTAGCTTGCGGCTGCACATACCCTCATTTACCAAATGGATCGTTCCTAGCATTGTGTGTTTCCGAGCATGTGTCCCTTGAGGAACTTCCAAGTCTCTGTAGGTGTCACTCGGGAGCACAACAGGTTCGTCCTCGCTTGAAGAAGAATTCGACGTTGTCACATGTCCCTCTGACTGGTCTCCTGTAAATGTTTCCTCGTCCTTGATTTCAATCACGCCTAAGCTGCATGAAGCTCCTTGCTACGTGTGATGGCTGTGATGGTGGCTTAGTCAGCCTGCCGCCCCTAGTGCTGTCAGGTGCAAAAACTCCCGCGCGAATCTCTTCCAAAACGTCGCTCAGCACTTGCAACGGTCTTGCTGCTCCGTCCCTGCTATACGTCAGTGGCATTTTCAAACAACTTGCCTGGTAACCTAGCGCTAAACGATCTTCAAAGCTACACCCACGCGCTTTGCAAGGTAGCTTAGGCGTGTACTCTTCAACGAATGAAATACCGGACATCAACTGGGCTAAAGTATTGGGCGACAATCAAGTTTATCCAGTTTCCTGCTTCTTGGGTTGTGAGTGGCCTCTGCTGGGGCAGGCCGTCCTTGTCTGGAGCTGGCACCAACGGAAAAGTAGATAGATTTGTTATGCCTAAACATTCTCGCGCCTCAACCCAGCTTTCAGCCCAATTTTCCACAGTGATTCCCACACCCGGCGCCGCCATAGGAAGAAAAACATGCCTCAGATGAAGGGCTCGACAAGTCAGTTCTGTGCACAGCTGCAGGACCTTCAACAAACGCAGCCTGTCCTTTACTGTCTTTGTCTAGAGGCAGTTTTTCACAATGCTGCGCATCACGCCATCGCGCCCTGGCATACACACAGAAAAGGGCCATGCCATGCCACTGAAACACCGGGTCCAAATCTCGGCATCTTCTTTTAGGGCCCTGTGGATGGCCAACAAGTGCTTGACCATCAAAGGCGGAGCTTGACGCGGCATCATTTGACCTACCAAACCTGCAGCGAAATCTTGGCACTTTCTGCTCTTACTCCTATAACGCGCCTGCAGAAGTTCAAGCTTTCCAACAAGGCTTTGAGTCTCGAAGCCGGAGCCCCGGCAGACTTTTCAAAATGCAAGAACTCATACAATTAGTTCTTGCTCGGTACAAGGGAAGCAACCTCCGGCTTTGTTCAAATGGTTCACAAGCCTGGCTAAACTATTGCACTGCTTCAGCAAAGTCGACAGGGCTTTGTTGAAAAAAATGTCCACCAAAATCTGCGCTTGAGACTTGAATTCTTCTTTCTGCAAAAGTTCGGCTACAATTCGAACGTCTGGGTTCCAGGTTAAAGTGCTAACCCTCCATCGTCGAATTGCCTTTTCCCATTGAGCTTCTCTTTGCTCCCTCCAAGACAAGTCGGACAAGTTTTGCACGACGCCTTGAAAGCCAACATGATGTTTTTGACGTTTCGGAGGTTTGTGAGAACACATTTCACCCTGTAGATCTGGTTAGACAAAAAATTGTCTCAGAAAGTTGACTCATGTTTTTTAACTAATTAGATTAAAAAACAAGTTATCTAATTAGTTTTAAAACAACTATTTAGATAATTTTTGAAGTTCAAAAGTGAAAGTTTCAATTTTAAAATTGAAAGTTTACTCCTTTCAGCAGAAAATCTATATAGGCAGTGCATATTTATAAAGCCAAACATACAGACATTTCACCAAAAAACAAGATGTAATGCTAAACAAAACGGCATACATTGCACAAACAACCCAGTGCATTGGAAAAATGACACCATGCTTTGCAGCAATAATCCTACACACATTCCACCCCAAATCCTAATAAATGGCCAGGGCCACTCCATGCTGTGCAGCAATAATCCTACAGGCAAGGCACAAATAATCCTAAGCACTGCAACAAGAATCATACTTGAGCACAAACAAATGCTTTTTGCCATCTGCCAGATCCAGGGCAAAGGACATTCTCCAATGCTCCAAGAGTTTCTGACCAGCCTGCAAGGGAGGGGTGCCCTTTGAGCAGTTCCTGCAGATCTTGCGAGTGATGCCCATGTAGTTCTCAGCTGAATAACACCATACCACTCTTGGTGATATGGCATGAGCATACTCACAAATGTGAATGAGCATGTGCAATTTGGAAGTGCAAATGAACATGTTGGGAAGTCTCACCTCATCCTCTGAAGCAAAATGCTGGGAGAGGTCCCACATGAGATGTGACATGATATAGCAGTTGTTCTTCAACTCCAAAGCATCTGCCCTTGAAAAGGACAGCTCATGCTTGTTCTTTGCCATGAGCTCCTCCATGGTGCAATTGGCCAGCAGCATGGCTCTGATCTTGCGATGGGTCGCACAATGTGGGTTGTAGTGTATTTCCCACACATGGGCCAAAGGCAACACCAAGCCCTTGACTTGAGCAGCCTTGCCTTTCAATTTGCAGGTGTTCTTCTTGAGGAACATGCTGATCTTGCTCAGATCATAGAAACAATCCCTGATGCCCAATGCCTTGTAGGCTTGAGAGATTTGCTTCCAAATGGGTCAAGTAGAAAAAACTGAAGAGAGCAAGTACTGGTCTGTCCCAAGGTGTTTCACATGCATCCAATCCAACTGGGCATTGAGCCCTGACAAACCAGGCACTTCCTGAAACAGCCTGCATGGGGAATGTCCACCCCACAAATGCCAAGACTGAGGTGTCCAAGCCTCTTCATGCCAGGGAGCTGAACTCTTGAAGTTGCTCCATGACCATGCTTGGTAGCTCTGCAATGAGGGCAAAGATTCTCAACTGCTGACCATCTAGGAAGGGAAAGGCTGCTTGCAAAATATTCTAGGTCGCCTTCCAGGGCAGTGAGCACACCACAATATCCAGACGCCAAAGGGAGCCCTGCCTTCTGCCCCAGGATAGAATCAGGTGGATACCTCAAAGGCCACAGATGAGAAGCAATAATCCTAGCTACAGAAACTTTTGGAAACATGCTTCAATAACCCTACCAACCACCACTAACACAAACAAAAAACATAAACAAGTTCTTGCTACACAAAAAGGCACATGGCATTGTTCCAGTCTGCAGCTGGCCAAACACCATAAAATAAAGTTTTGAAGCTCCAGGCAATGATCTTGAAGACAGCATCCAATGTACCACCATCTCCAGGTTTGAAAAACTTCTGGTAAGCAGTCCAGATCAGCATATGACAAGCTCTAGTGCCACCTGTTGCCAAACAGCCATGCCAATTGTAACATTCCATCAGCTTCCCCCAGCACTTGCCAATCCCCACAGTTGGCACACCATCGCCATGCAAGGCAACTGGCAATGATTTTCTCAGGTTTCTGGATAGCACTGCTTGGTTTCCTGCCATTGAAGGATGCAGCTTGCATTGCTTCCAAAAAGTGTCCACTTGCTTTTGCCCACCTGGCATAAACATTTGTTGCCATCTGTCATTGTGCTTTTCAAAAAGCCAGGCAAATATTTCATGTGGCAAGAGGACGCTCTGGAAGTGTTTTGCACCATCCTTTGTAAATGGAATTTGGCACAGCTTAGCTTCAGGCACAAAGCACTGTGCTGACAACAGTTTCATCATGTCCCTGTGGACATTGTTGCTGTGCACACCTTCTGGTCCCAACTTCTGAAGGGTCTCCAAAGGCTTGGGTGTAGAAGAAGGCTTTGCTCTCTCCAAATCAAGGGCAGCTTGGCTGGCCAGGTGCTGAACCTCTTGTCCACTCAAGGTTCCAATGCAAAACAATTCCTGCAAAGCTGTTGCCAATGCTGAATGGTTTGCTGGCTGGTCCTTGTTCACTTCTTGGGCAGCAGCTCTGTGTAATCTTTGCCTTTGGCCTCCAAACCTTCGCCTTTTAGGCAAGCTTTCTTCCTCACTGTCCATAGCCCCATGGCTGGCACCCTCGAGGCTTCCAAACCTAACCAAATATTACAGCTGAACATGAACATGTGTTGGGGATCAATCTCAAATAATCCTACAACAGCAAGAAATAATCCTAGACACACCAGCATGTGTTGGGAATCAAGCTCACATAATCCTACAACAGCAAAAATAATCCTAGACACACCAGCAATAATCCTATCATCCTATGACAGTGAAGAACATTTGATTGAAACAATGCTCCACAATAGTTTAATCCAAACAGTTGCGAGAATGTTTTCCTGGAGTGAGCATATCTGGTGTATGCTTGGCTTTACAAGCTCATGTGCTGCAGTCAAGCAGAGGCTCTACTAAACTAGTTTCCCAAGGGCTCTTGCAAACAACAAAGTGCCTGATGGTTTCACCATTGAAATATCCAACAGAACAAATTACAACAAAATTGTCTTTGGGAATATATATATATATATAATGTATTCATGCCACAGAACAAACTACACAACTTAGAGCCCTCGAGCTTTGACCAAGGCTTTCAATTGCTCCAAAATCTGATTGGCTTTCTCTGTGTCATCAGCCATGTCCTTGAAGAACTTCATGCAATTGTTCTGGGCCATGCCACCAGGGATCTCCTGCAAAGCAAGCAGTCAACACAAGTCTTGCGCACAATAATCCTGCAAACCAAATCCATATCAATCCCACAACAATAATCCTATGGCCTTACAAATTCCTACCATGCCAACCCTGAAGCTTCACTGCACCACAATAATCCTACAATGAAATGCCAAACAAAATGTTTCAACGTGGCTCCTGCCACATCTGGCAATCCATCAGCTTGTTGGTGTTTGCATTGAGCAAGGCAACACATTCCTTCAACATATTGGGAAAATGCTCATCTTTGGTAGCTTTCAACTTGCTGGCATACCTGCCAGAATCTCGAAGCAGCCTTTCTTGTGCTGACTTGGCATCAGCAACCTGCTTTTCCACAGCAGTCCACTTGTACATGACTTGCTGCCTGGGAGCATCTTGAATGGCCTTCAAGGCCTTTGGTGCTGGCATGTGTCCACCAGGCATGGGAAACTGAGGAGCTTCTCCTGGCTGGGAACTTGAAGAAGGGTTGAAAGCCCCTCCAACAACTGCCAATGCAGCATCCCTTGAGTGTTGCCCAAATTTGGCAAATGGTCTGCTCTCCACGAAGGTTCCCAGGGCATCAAACTCATTTGCCTCCAAAGACACCTCACCACCATCTGCCTTCATGCCAGTCCCTTGGGTCTTCTTCCTGCCACTGGCCACTTCAGCCCAAAAGTACATGCTGCCTTTCTGGATGAGGTCACCAGCAGCCACTGCTTGATCAAAAGCACTTTCATTTCGCTGAAAAATGCCCCACAAGATCAAGTTTTTGGCCATGCCCTTGGTCTGGCCATGCCCTTGGTCTGGGCTTGTGAGAACTGGGAATCATGCTGTTCCACCCAATTCTTCCATGTTGCATCATGGTGCACATCACCATCCTGCCAGTCTTGGATTTGGTGAACAGCCTGTTGATCAGCTGAAGAGTCTTTTGCCAACTGTTCCAGCTGAATTCCCACCCTTCTCATACATTTCTTTGATGTCAGCTGGGGTGCCACCAGAAGCTACCAACCTTGCCCACTTTCGAGCTTTTGCATAGTCTCGCTTCTCTTCTTCCCCATCACCATCAACTTATTGAAAGAACCCCAGTAGTTTTGGGCAGCGCTTGGCTTCCGGACCTTACAGAGTGGGATAAATATATTGAAAGATGGATTTAGGATTTAGATATATGCAGATGGATTAAGATATATTAAGCTGGATTAAGCTATTTGGTGCTTAACATTGCTTAACCATGCAATACCAGGCACTATCATGCACCATCTTATAGTCTCATGCACTCTCTCACACCACTAAGATACAATTATATCAAATTATTTCCCTTTCATGGGGTGATCCAGGTGATCCTTGTCAGGCAACTTCAACATACTTCAACACTTCATCAAACAGTATCATATTACACCAAGTTACACCATGTTATACCAAACATCATCTTACAATATCCTACATCAAAGATCATCAAACGTTTTTCCATCGCTTACCAACGTGCAGTCGTCTGAAACTATCCCTGTGAAACATGCTGGCCACATCTAGCCACCATGCATCATCTTATATCTTATATCATCATATCATATCGCGTTCAAAAAATGTACACATATATACAAATATAAACATATTTCATGTTGAGTCACACTATCATATTATGTCATATCATGTCAACATGTCCACAGTTCTGAGAACAAAAAAGAAACGAGCATACACCAGCAATTGCCTTTCATGATCATTTGTGACCAAAGTTCAATGACTCTGCCGTTTCGCCCCCAATTCCAAAGCTTGTAGGGCAGTGTCGGCTTTTTCTTGACCTTGGAATCCTTCAAGTCCTTGGATTAGCAAACGTGAAGGACCATGACAGACATGCTTCACTTTCTTCCCCTCAGGAGCTGCGGCAACGAGGTGAGACGGGGAGACGGCCGGGAACTATCTACACGGGAGCATGCTTCATTTGCTGAAAACAAGTTCTATCGTGCTCCATCCCCAGCAACATCAGCTTCAATGGAAAACATCTACTTTTGCAAGTTTGTAACAAAGTAGGTGTTGAACGTTGAAGGGTCTTGTGTTTTGCAACGCTTTGCAGAAGACACTGGGGTATACTGGGGTGTTCTTGGGAGTCTTTGCCTTCTACCATCTTCCAACATCTACCAAAGTCTAACAACCTCTATTAACCTCGAAAAAAAATAAAAAAATTAAAATATTATTTACCCTATTTCACTAGTTTATCATAGTTTATCCTATCAAGCAAAAAAAAGCAAGCATATGCAAATATATGCAAGCTTATGCAAGCATCCTTCTGGGTTTCACGACGCTTCTTGCTTTCCAGGGCGGTGGATAAGATGTCATCCAAAGGCACATTGTACTCACCGGTGATCTCACAGACCTTTGCTCATATTTGAAGACTGAATAGAACTATATGGAACTATTAAACCTGCACGGCGCTTTATGGTACGTTAAAATTATGTCCTACAATTTGGCAACGTAAAAACAAAAAACCTGAAACAACATGAAACAACAAAACATAAAACAGAACTCACACACATAAAACATATTAAAAAAATTACAAATAATCTACACAACCAAACACACGATAAACACAGAAATCCACAGTCAAGCGATTGTAAGAACATGTTAAAACATGTTAATACATGTTACTAGTATATTAGCATCCATAAATCCATAAGCATGCGCAAAAGCATGCAAAAACAAACATCATCAAACAACAAACACCATTACATTGTAAACCAAATTTAAAAAAATCGGACTGCACCATATTGCACCCAACCACAGCTTTTCGAAGAACACTCAGGTCATCCTCAGACGCTCTGGAGACACATACGGAGCTGGAGATTCCTAAATATGCGCCCTCCTTGCTCCTGTGTTAGACCCTCCCGGCCTGCTTGTGGTAGCCACAGAACGGGGCCAGGTCCCTCAAAGTCAGCCCTTTCTCAGCAGCTTGTGGAGAGGCACAGTCATGGCAGTCTTAGCAGTGACCAAAGGGTGTTCAAACTCACCTGCTAGATATGTTGGTATATGTTGGGATTTGCTGCTACATCATGCAGTATCATGTTCATCAGGCCACATAGGGCCACATCTACGATGTCCTGTATCAGTATATGATACATTCAATTATAATATGCTATTTATGATGCCCTATGAAACCCTATGACATCCCATATCAATTTTTTTTGCCTGTCTCTTCCAGAGCAGCGGCGACGAGGTGAGACGGGGAGCAGGTCCGGGAACTATGTACACTGGAGCTATAACATCCTATGGTCTCCTGTTTGTTGTTTATTGTAAACAAAAAGTAATGCACTATAATGTGTAGGATGTTGTAAGTTTTACATATAACATCATATAACATCATCTAGTCATATATAATCATATCGTGTCATTGATATTGATTGGCTTGCTATGGCCTAATGTTTCAGAACTGTTCCGCCCATGACCCTAGTACATCCTAGTCCACTGATCCACTGATGACTCCAAAAACACAAGTCCAACAACTGCAGCGGGCTTCCATTCCAAACGCACTGGGCCTGGTTCCAACCGCCGTCAAGATCTTTGAGGCCAGTGCTGCGAAAGCACCTGCCAAGGGAAGATGGAGGAAGATGGACGAAGAAGAGGAAGAGCTTGATGGATGTAAATGGGTGTGTGATGGTTTGTGCGATGCATATACCTACATATATCTACATATCTCTCTGCATATCTCTACATACACCTACCACCAATTGGCACTTTGTGGCACCTTGTTCTATTTTTTTTCTGATCGTCGCTTGTGGCAAGTACATGATGCGAAGATACACAAAGGAAAGAGACACTGTAGCATACTTGTGGGATGATGTGGGAAAGCATCCGCCGCCTTTGAATGCCTTATATTGCCATATAAAATCTTATAATGATATATAATTCCTTTGAACAACATTGAGTTGCCGTATGTCGCTGAGCAGAACCGCTCATGACCCTAGTCCACTGATCCGCTGGTGATATGATGACGTTTGATGATGTAAAGTATCTTAAAGTTACTTTCAATGACTCCCAAAAACACAAACCATTACAAATCCAACGCGTTCCAACGCAGAAGCGCCCAAGTTAAACACAAGATAACATAAGATAGCACAAGGTATAACACCGCTGCTGCTAACACGCTGAACGCACCATGGGTTCTCATTCTCCTCCTTTCTCCTCCTCATCCAGGGGCATGGCAACTGTGGGGAACATGGATGCATGTGCAAAGGTCGAAGCCATAAAACTTGTGCGGTGCAGTAGGATTTTTTCATCAAACATCATCAAACCACTTATTATAACCACTTCAAAGCCATACCAGTCACTCAAAATACATGGCCCTATATGGCACTCTTAAGTCCTCAGTTCATTCTCATCGTCAGGTCTGTGCCTGTACAGGTTTTCGAACAGGTGATCAGCTGGGTTGCCCTGCATGGATCTGGCATGAGGATGCCTGTGATGGGTGGTGGCCGTGAACTCAGAATGGGCCTTGGGCGGCCTTGGGCCTTTGACCTTCGCAGAGCCATGATCTCGTTCTATGCACCAATATGAACCAATACAACAAGTTCGTCTTGAACTAGAGCTGGGCTTGCCAGCGCCTCCGCCCAGTTTCCAATATTGTCCAATGTGTAGTGATTTGTTTCACCATTCGCGAAGGAACTCTTGTGATAGAGCACATGCCCTTCTTCCCTGTCAGCCCAAGTGATGCCATCCATGCATGGTTGGATACTCACAGCGCCTGTAGCGCTGACATCTTCCTACTTCATGTTCTCCTGCGATGTCCTGCGGGCATAGTAGAATGCATTAGAACATCAGTGCATGGTCTGGCCAGGATTGAACGAAGAGAGTTAACGCCATCATCGGCGCTCACATAACAGAACGCGCATTTCATGAATAACTGTCATGTATAAGTATGGGGGTGTGATGCGGTTACGGGAGTGCCATGGTGTGCCCTTCCTTCTATGCTCAGCGACGTGTTCCTTCCCAAGTCTCCAGTTCCTCTTGCTCAACTCTGTAACAGTGTTGACCAGCTGAAATCTTCAGGATCTTCTACCCTTCTCAGCTTTATTCCACCAATCCTCCAAAACGCCGCCATCGAGAGGTCTAGCAGTGTCCACCCTGGTGGCGGCTCCGATGGTTGCCGTGGCTGAGCCCACAACCACTGCAGCCGTGGCTTGTGTAGAAATGCCCGTGGAATTTGAGAAAATAGAAAACTAGAGAAACATCCGCAGAATAACTGAAAGGCTGTGACTCCAAAAGATGGTGTTCACGCTGCAGGTTTGAACACAAACTCGGGAAATGCGTACTGCACTGAATGCCTCATGCCACACGGCAGCTTAGGTATGCTTAGGTGAAAAAGGTCCTGAGTAAAACATGTATACAGTTTGAGTATCCTGAAGGCCAAGGCTCGAGGCCCAAGAGGCCAAAAGTGCACGGAACCCAAAATTCACAAGCTGCAGATACTGAAGGGTCACTGGGCTCCGGCAGACGAAAACAATCGCTGCCCTTTCCTCGCGATCGGAACTGCTTTCTAGCCCAAACTGTTCACGTAGTCGCTTGGCACGTTGTCCACGCGTTCGGCGTTCGCAATGGTCTCGCATCGAGACGGGTACGCAACACTCACACAATTGGATCACAGGCCCCTGTCGGGCACGCCAAAATTCGCATTTCGTTCGCGTCGCTCTCAAACGGCCGCTCCCTCGATCAAGCGGTCGTTCAGCTTCTCGATGACGCAGCGCTGCCTCATAAACAGTTTATGCAAAGCAAGCACGCCGAGACAGTGCGTC